GGATGTATTACATTGAAAGGTTGGTTTCTTACTTTTTAAATCTATTCTTTTAATTTAAATTTATTAAAATATTAATATTTTTCTTCATAGATTTCTGCGAACCTTGAAAGGTTATGTACGCAACAACTATCGTGTAGAAGGATCAATTGTTGAGGGTCATATTGCAGGAGAGTGCATTACATTGTTCTCTAGATATTTGAGTGATATGGAAACGAAGCAAAATCGTCCAGATAGGAATTCTAATTCTTCTAACATTGATCACAATAGCTTATCTATATTTAATTGTTATGGTAAACCACTAGCATTCCTAGACAAATTTGAATACTTTAGAAATCAATCAGGCTCATTTTTACATTCTCCAAAATTGTGAGGAAGTCAGACCTTGGATTGAGTAAGATATGTTTCACCTTTACATCATTTTCTTACAAACACTTAACAATTGTGTTCTATTTTTTAAAATTTATTTTCAAATCTCTCCAATCTATAGGGAACATTTAGAAATTTTAACAAAGGAGAATAATAGAAATGTAGCAAAGAGAAACAAGGAGGAATTTCCTTTATGGTTTGAAAAAAAGGTAAAATATTTCATTTCATGATTTGTAAATTTATTTTTTTAAATAACATTAATATTATTTGTGATTTTGAAATTAAAATACTACAGGTGATACAATTAAAGGAAAATGGTGATAACCGAATTACTAATTTTGGCAAGACCTCCAGATCCTCAAGTTTTTTGTTATAGCGGATATATCTTGAATGGTTCTCGCTTTCGAACAATGGAATCTGAGCTAGGTTTGAAAACTCAAAATAGTGGTGTGGTTGTGAAGAGTAATGAACATATAGGGAATGTTGATTATTTTGGAAGGAGAAGAAGAATTTTAGAGATCCAATATATGAACAATAAATCAGTTATGTTATTTCAATGTGATTGGTTTGAAGTTCCTTCTCAAGGTCGTAGTCAAAGTAGAGGTTACAAAAAAGATAAATATGGATTTGTCTGTGTAGATATAACATGACTTCATTACACAAGTGATCCATTCATTCTAGGCTCACAAGCTCAATCAGTGTATTATGTGAAACATGGTCAAAGTGAAAAATGGCATTCAGTGATAAGGGTAAGACCACAAAATTTGTATGATCTTCCCGAACAAAAAGATGAAATGGAACAATATCAACTAATTGACTGGGTTGAAAGAGGAGAAACAAATCAAGAAGTAGAGTTGGAGAATGATAACATCAGAATAGAAAGAGAAGATATTGATGGAGTGAGTGTTGAAGCACCTTCTCTCAATAACGAGGAAGAAGCCGACTTAGTAGTTGTAGATGAGCCTATCATGAAAATGTAGATGACTTCAGTGATTCTGCAATAGATGAAGATACTAGTGAATATGATGAAGTTGAGGATGATGATTGGTTTTGATTTTCAACTTGTCATCAAGATAAAATTTGTTTGAATCAGTTTGTCTGTAGAAGTTTTGTTTTTCACTTACCAAAACTGTTAATTTCTATTTTCTACTTTTCCCATATTTCTTTATCTTTTTTCTTAGAAGCTTTATTTGTTTCTCTCAATTTTTGAACACTATTTTATTACTTTATCATTTTGGCATTGCTTTTGTTTGTTAATTGCTATCTTTTACTTTTATGATTTGTAATTTTGACTAGTATTTATTTATATAATATTATAGTATGTTGCAACTAATCATGTAGTCGGATATTACTCGGTTTGTTGTTATTGTGGTTGCAGCCAATCATGATGAAAAATATGCATATTTCTAATGATAGTGAAACTGCCGATGTAAGCGCAATGCTGCCTCCAAGTAAGTTTATCCATTTGTTAAAATTATATCTCTTCAAAATCTCTAGATCATATATGTTTTATTTACATATATTTTAATATCTCTATGTATTGTTAAAGAAAAAAGAGAAAGGGAAGAGGAAAGACAACAGGGCTTTCAACCCAAAAGAAACGTAAGGAAAATGACAATGGAAAGTTGAAGGTGATTATCCCACCAGATCGAACAGTTGCCGTAGGTCCTGGGGCTAAAGATTTTATTACCGAGCTCTCAGTGAAAGTTCTACATAATGCTAGACATGATGTCAAGAATTGAAAGGGAGTTCCTGATCTAGCAAATAATAGGATTGTTGCTTATATGCTGGTAATGTACTTTTCTCTTTGTCTTTTTTTGGTTGAAATAGTAAATGGTTAGTAATGATAGCTCTGACTATCTAGTTCTCTGTCTCTTTTATCTTGTCGAAGAAGTTCAGCTATTTGGCTTTCTTTTGCATTATAGTTGTATTTCTGATTATCGTCATAGCTCCCTGACTTCTTTGTTTGTTGAATTGGTAAACAGTCAGTACTTGGCCTTCTTATGCATTGTAATGTACAAAAATTGATCCTTCAATGTAATTTTTCTTTTTTTTCTAGCATCTGATCATTTTCTAACTGAGAACCATTAACAAGAGTTTGTGTTATTAATTTAACTTGAAATTTAAAGTTGAAGATAGTTGTTGATGGATAGCCAATGCCTAAATCATTAGTTGTGTTTTTTATAATCGTAGCTCTCTATCGTTTTCTTTTGTTGAAATGGTAAATGGCCAACAATAGTGTTTCTGGCTTTCTAGCTCTCTGTACATTTTTGTTGTTGTAGTTGAAATGGTAAATGTTCAGTAATGGTATTTCTGGTAATGTAGTTCTCTGTCTCTTTTATCTCGTCGAAGAAGTTCAGCTATCTTTTCCTTTAATGTATTTTTTCTTTCTTTGTAGTATCTGATCAGTTTCTAGTTGTTTTCTGAATAAGCGTGTACACCAGGCAATCCAACTTTGATAAGTTGGATTATCCCTGCTTATGATAGGGTCTTACCATCCATGTGCTTATTTTAGCTGTGATTTTGTTCACCAATGGTTTGCATTGTAGAATTGTTAATCTTCTGGTAGAGTGAGGGACTGCAAGATACCTAAAAGGCAACTCTCCAAATTCATACCCTAGTATTCCCAATATCCTCTGTTGAATATGACTACTTACTCCTCCAAAATAAGCCTGACTTTTTCTTAAGTTTTCATGGAGTCCTAAAGCTACTGAAAATAACTCAAACTTGTCGTTGAGTATTTGCACAGATATTTCATCTCCTATTGCCTAGAGCCCTATTTGAGATTAGGTTTACCTGGAGCCCTGTCTAAGACCTCTCTTAACATTGATAGTTTCTGATTAGGCACCATTGATATGAAATGTATTGCTGACTGATCTAATAGCCAGTTAACCATCATACTATGAAATCCAATCTCCTATAACATTTGCTCAATGAAATGCCATTCAATTGAATTCAATCTCGTATAACATCTTCTTCACACTCTTGTTGGCTGAATCTTTTCCTTTGACCATTCTCCCAATTTAACGTTTTGGTTCATTTAAATAATATCTCAATAGGGAATTATCTTATCGAAGAAAGTTTAACTACTTGACCTCCATATTTATTGTAATCTGCATCAACTGATGTTTAATGTAGTTTTTCTTCTAGCATTTGATCATTTGTTTAATGTATTCCTCACTGATTTTGTACCTATGGAATATTTCTTTCTCGTGTTTATCTCCGAATCTCATCAAATGAAATTCTTTAGCTTCTTTATTACTTATTCTTCAACTATGTCTAGAGAACATGCTGTTGGAAATCTTAAATTTTTCCAACACAAACTGTCTTGAACAAAATTAATTTATTAGTTGATCAACTGTAAATGAACTCAGGAATCATGATATCATGAAAAAAAATCTGTAATACTAAGTTAGATATCAACATAGGATGTTCAACCATATCTACATATTCTGGTTCAGTAGCTACCTGTTTCTTCAAGTTACTTCTAAGTTTTGTGAACTAATATTTTCAGTTGCTGCTGAGACCAGTAACTGTTAAAAAAGAACACTCCATGTCCAGTTCATTTATTGCAGATTACTTAGAAAATCTGTGGGGCATTACGAAAAATTGGAAACTTGTTCCAATCTCAACCCTTCTGATATGTGACACGATAGCACCTCCCACGACCATAGTCAAAAGAACAACACCAACTCATTTCAGACACCCATGTCCGTGAGACAGCCTTGTTAACAACATTTTATAGTACTTTTCTGCATCTCTGAAGTGCTACTGATGACCAGTTAATGATTTCTCATTCTACAAGTAAAAGTGAAACAAAATAGTCATTGACTTCTATGAGTTTGGGTGTGTTGCCTCAGTTAGCATTCTCTATATGGTTACTTTACATAACATTTCTTGCTTTGTTGATGATGATAAAATTTCGATGGCCCTTCCTTGCATCTAAATAAACCTTTATTTTTTTCTTCTTTAAAGAGGCCCATGGATATGAAAGGAAAGGGAGGTGACCCTCCACGAATGCGGCCAAGACCTCCTGAACGTGGAGGTCTTAGATTGTGGCCTCTTGCATTCAGTGTTGCACCAGCAACAACCCAAAGTCAATGGTTATAATGAATTTCCATACAAAATGCTAAATGCCACAAAATCATCCTAGCTGCCTCGGAAACCGAATCAAAGGTCATTCTAGATGAAACTCGGCGTGCCAGAGCTAACCGCGCTAATGGAATTTCATTTTGAGCGTATTTACTAAGAAAGCTGACCGAAGGAAAATGTAAAACTAGCAACTGTTGTGGAAAAGAGTCCTTCAACTGCACACTATGTTAACTTATTTATGAAAAGATTTGAGCAAGAGATTTGATATAGAAGATGTTGAACTTTTGAGAACTACAGTTGGCCGGGTTGGGAACTAACTAAGACACATTTTATTTAGCCTAATTATTTATACTATTTTGATTGCAGGACACCTTTCAACTTCCGAACATACAACACAATTGGGATACGATTCTTCAAACAGCAAAAAATTTATATCAATATCATCGGAGTAGACATCATATGATCATTTCAAGAAATTTTCCACAAAAGAGGAGAGTCTGCAAAACATACCAACAGATGTTAATGAAGCTGAATGGAAATTACTTGGTAGACTACTTCAGCTCTGATGATTTTAAGGTAGTTAAAAGTGAAAAATTTAACCTTTTATATTGTTTGTTTTCTTTTTTGACTTCTTATATACTTAGATCAAAATAAATTTCTAAACTCAAAATCAATGCAGAAAATGAGTGAAAGAAACAAAAATAACAAGGCAAAATAAAAAGTGAATCATATTTGCGGCAGAAAAACTTTTCAAGCAGTGTCTTATGAAGCGGTGAGATATATGTCTTTCTTTTTATCGATTATAGTTACAATTTAAACAATAACATAATTTCATTTGTTTTGACAGAGGGACACAACCACTGGAAAAGAGCCGAATTTTCAAAAACTTTGGGAAATAACTCACATGAAGCCAAATGGGTAATGAGTTACTAATGCTTCTGCTGAAGTGAATGTACTCTTTTTAAACCTTTATTCATAGAATGAGTTTATTTAAATAAATATGGAGAGTTAAAGCTAGTATAACCTTTTTTGTAGGATAAAGTGAAAGATGTTGTTGCTGAAAAAATTCAAGAAATTGAAGAGGGTACCGATGTGGATCCTATTATTAATGCTGCATTTCTGCAAATAATGGGAGAAAAAATCAAAGTACATTCTTGGTCAAGGATCTGGAATTAAGTTAGCAAGTAGAATATCTAGAAATGAAATTCAAGAACAACAAAAGGAGGCAGAAGAAGAACGTCGTAAACGATATAGTGTAGAAAGCAAGCTAATGGAAGTTAAGAATCAACTTGAAGAGGAGCGAAAAAATTGAGAAGTAATGGAAGTTCGTTTAGTGCATGACCAAAAAATTGTTAAAAGAGAGCATGATGGCGCTAGTATCTCATTTGAAGAATCCAAAGGTATTTATTTATAGTATACATCGCTAAATTCATAGATGCTACATTACTACTTAATTTTTTTTCACTCTCACCATATATCTTCGCCTCTTCCTCATTCTATTCTTCTTTTATCGACATACTAAGTTATTAATTTGTACCATATTTAACAAAATGGCCTTCCTGCTTCAATTTTCAATATCATTACAGCTTCAACCAGTTCAAAGGAGACAAGTTCTGCAAGTCTAATGAATGTCAAATGGGTAAGTAAATGTCTCATATCTATTGTTTCTATTCTCAAGGGTAAAAATTTAGACTTGCATTGGCTGCTGTTAGGCGTGCTTGATGTGATCCTCTGAACACGACCTATTGGATTATCCTCCGGATTACCTTACGGGGCTCAGTTTTCATAGCCTTGAACACACTATTATTCCTTTCAATCCAAAAATAGTAGACACCGGCAGCCAAGGTCATTTTATAGATGGCATCAACAACTCTATTGCTTCGTACTTGGTCTTGTGCCCGTTCCATTTCTTCTGTCCAAGGCAAAACTTGTCTATCTATTCCCAACCATTGTAACAGCTTGGACCATATGGTAGCAGCATATGTACATTGGAAAAATAGATGGTCTATACTCTCAGGTTGTTCAGATAGAATTGCCCTTTATGTAATAGCAGTGGACCCACTTGACCCATAACTTATTTTTGTTACAGCACAAATTCCATAGCAACTTGCATATAGCTATCTTGTTCCAATAGGCTACATCTAGGATGTTTAGTCCTCCTACCTCTCTTGGTAAGCAAACTCTAATTACTATTATTATTACTACATGTTGAACTAGTGCTATTATCGAGTATTGCTCATTGATCACAAAACATAAGTTGTTAGTTTGTTCGAGCATCACATTTGGTAATTAGATGAAAATAATATATGTTGCTGAAATTTTGTTTTTGTTTACAAGTATATGTTGCTGGTAATAAGATGAAAATAGAGATCATTCTTTTATGTTAACATTGACTTGCTATAATATTATTGGAATAGATTTTTCATCTCCTTGTGTGTTGTATCTCTATGCATATCCATCTATCATTTTAATTACAACAGAAAAACACAATATGTAATAAACTTATTTTAGATATATATTTATTTCAAGCTTATAATCTTTGTATTGATGAGCAGTTGCCTGAAGATTTACATGGAAAGCAAATAGGGAAAGCAAAACCAAGAATCACAGATGCAAAAATAATTGGATAACTTGAAAGATATCTTGACTTTTGAGAAGTAAAACTTAGAAATGGCAATTTATGATTGTGATAAATTTAGTTCGTTGTGCAATGAAAAAGATGTAGAGCTTAAGGTATTTTTTAAATGTTATTAAATTTGATTTATTAAGGGGACAATCATTCATTTTATTACTCCATTCCTCGTAGGCTGCCTTATCAGAGAAGCGAAGCTTAAAAATGCGGCTTCCAAAGTTGAGTTCTCAAGGTTCAAAGAAAACTATTCCGAAAGAGTTGGTTGACGCAAATAATCAATTAAAGCCATAAATTGTTATTTGGCCTTCATATTTTGTCCAGATTAGTATCCACAAAACACAAACTCATGTGACTTCACTTGCAGGTCTTTGAAAAGATCCATGAGAACTGAAAGCTCGTTCTATGTTGCGTACCGCAGAAGAAACAAAGAAGAGGCTTTTGAGTGAAAACTCATCAGTTGAGGCAAAAATTGTAGAGCTGGAAAAGAAGAAATCAAGTGAGGTACGTTGCCTAAATATCTCTTGTTCCGCATGGATCATATATTTGATATAAAGTGGACAATTTATGATTGTGATAAATTTAGTTCGTTGTGCAATGAAAAAGATGTAGAGCTTAAGGTATTTTTTAAATGCTATTAAATTTGATTTATTAAGGGGACAATCATTCATTTTATTACTCCATTCCTCGTAGGCTGCCTTATCAGAGAAGCGAAGCTTAAAAATGCGGCTTCCAAAGTTGAGTTCTCAAGGTTCAAAGAAAACTATTCCGAAAGAGTTGGTTGACGCAAATAATCAATTAAAGCCATAAATTGTTATTTGGCCTTCATATTTTGTCCAGATTAGTATCCACAAAACACAAACTCATGTGACTTCACTTGCAGGTCTTTGAAAAGATCCATGAGAACTGAAAGCTCGTTCTATGTTGCGTACCGTAGAAGAAACAAAGAAGAGGCTTTTGAGTGAAAAATCATCAGTTGAGGCAAAAATTGTAGAGCTGGAAAAGAAGAAATCAAGTGAGGTACGTTGCCTAAATATCTCTTGTTCCGCATGGATCATATATTTGATATAAAGTGGAGTAATATTATAGTATTGAGCAAGATAGAGTCTAGTAGTAATTCAATTACCTCTAAATTTAATAGTAGTACTGTGGCATCTTGAAAAGTACTCCCAACATAAACTATTTAGTTGTCATAGTAGTCCCAAACAACTCGAATCCACCTATATTATTACTTTCTTTTCTTAAATGCAAATGAAATAAGGAGATTTATCAGGAGATTAAAGTGTGTTTGGGTGTATAAGTGAGTGCATTCATAATATCTGTCTTTTAGATTTATATTTGTGTATTTTATAACATACTTTGTCAAATTATAATTATATTTATCTTTTATTTGCAGGATGGACATGCATAATTGAACTATTGCTTCAATACAAGTACTATTGGAAGATCGGATTATTCAAAAGTTACTAGTAGGATTAGAATATAATTAATGACTTGCTTATTCTTTTTTCTTACAAGTACAAACATGCAGAAGTATTTAGTTCTTTGGAATATCAATCTTATATTGACCTTTGCAAATTTATATAATTCTTAATATAAATATTTGTGAAAAAATTCTAAAAGAAAAGTGTATTGTGTATATAGAAGTTATTCACAAATAGTTGCTAAAAGTGTAGAGAATATTTGTACAAAATTTCTAAAAAGAAAATGTGTATTATGTAAGCAGTACTGTGGCATCTTGAAAAGTACTCCCAACATAAACTATTTAGTTGTCATAGGAGTCCCAAACAACTCGAATCCACCTATATTATTACTATTTTTTCTTAAATGCAAATGAAATAAGGAGATTTATCAGGAGTTAAAGTGTGTTTGGGTGTATAAGTGAGTGCATTCATAATATCTGTCTTTTAGATTTATATTTGTGTATTTTATAACATACTTTGTCAAATTATAATTATATTTATCTTTTATTTGCAGGATGGACATGCATAATTGAACTATTGCTTCAATACAAGTACTATTGGAATATCAGATTGTTCAAAAGGTACTAGTAGGATTAGAATATAATTAATGACTTGCTTATTCTTTTTTCTTACAAGTACAAACATGCAGAAGTATTTAGTTCTTTGGAATATCAATCTTATATTGACCTTTGCAAATTTATATAATTCTTAATATAAATATTTGTGAAAAAATTCTAAAAGAAAAGTGTATTGTGTATATACAGTTATTCACAAATTGTTGCTAAAGTTGTATAATAAATATGTATTGCAATAAAAATTATTGTTGCTAAAATCCTTCTAACAGATTATTAACTAACTTTTTGTCATTTTTTTACAACAACTGATATTGTTGGTAAAAAAGTTAATTTGTGGCAACATTAAATTTTGTTGCGAAATTTTTTATAAGCCACAACTATATTAATGTAGGGAAACAATTATTTGGTTGCAATAAGTTAGTTTTTGGCATCAATATATTTTGTTGTTGCAAAAACTTTTTGCATCAGCGTTTATTGCAACAACATGCAACAACTTTTATATTGTTGACAAAAGTACTTTTTGCAACAACATTTGATATATAGCAACAAAAAAAATTGTTGGGAAATGCCTTTTTTCTTGTAGTGTTTCATGAGAAATCAGGCCATATGTAGTTCGAGAGTGTAGGAACATAGCAATTTTTGTTAAAATATTTGCTCCAGTATCGAATTATGGTAATACTGAAATGTTTTGGTGGTGAGGTTTGAAGAGATTAGCACGAATAGAGGGACGAGATATAGTTCTAAAGAACATGAATGAGAAAATGCTCCGTAGCAATTTCTACTGGAGGCTTATGGCAAAGGGATGATTTTTTGTTTTTTTTAAAAAAATGTCCTAGTGTCGGGTTATAATGAAGTGAGACCTGAGAGAGTTATCTGAACTTTTGAAAAATCGAGTCGAGTTGTGTTTTGAAAGTGAATCCTTGACGTAGCTAGTGATGCTTGACATTGCACTAACTTGCCCTAGTTTGCTTCTTAGAGGGAGTTCCTCGTTGCAATGTGTTGTCCTGCACAACATGTAAAAAGGTGAGAAGTACCTGTTGCGGTTCAAAAATTGTAAATTGAAATTGGAATGTAAAAGAGTAGAGTGTAGATGTCCAAACGATTGTTGATGTACCTGTTTTTTGTGTTGTGAATGTGATGTAGGTAAAGTAACTTGTAATGTAAAGGCTGGCGGGGCTGTTGTAATGTAAAAGCCTGTATCCGGCTGTGTAAAGCTTGTAATGTAGACCTCCGCTTGGCGGGGCTGTTGTAAAGCAAAAGCATGTATCCGGCTTTGTAAAGCTTGTAATGTAACATGTTATTGTTAGTGTATGAAAGTTTCATTGGGCTTGTATGCCCCCGGTCGGTGGAGCTTAGGTGACATCACTACGATGTGGTCTCTGATTGGCGGAGTGTTGCTTCTTTTCTTATATACAAGTTCCGATTGGCGGAGTTCGGTCGATGTTTGCTATGTACAACCTCCGGTTGGTGGAGTTTGACGATATTCGCTATGTACAGCCTCAAATTGGTGGATTTTGATGATGTTTGCTATGTACAGCCTCCGGTT